AAAATTCATCTTGAGCCTAACCTGTGGAGAATGCCATAAATATTCATAGATCAAAGACACTATTACGCATATCAATCACTATGCAAGTGCTAAAAAGGATCTAATGACATGCGTAAGCACACCCCGCCATTTTGTCTTGCGCACTGTCATTAGCGCCTTTTTTTTCATAGGGCAACCCTTTGTGTGGCTTATTCAAATTGGTGACAATAGAATGTTTTTGTTTATCCGTTAATCTTTGGCATGATAATAATGTAAAGAATCTTTTATAAGATGTTCATATTATTGTTGGATTTATTTTTGAGAGTATTACTTGTTGTTTTAAGCTTATTATTATTGGCTTATCATACACACGTTACTAAATGTAATCGCATTTTGTTTCTGTGTGATACCTATTCGTTTTCTAAGTCATTTAAACTTGTTATGATACACCTATGTAGTTTTAAGCAGCAAACAATAAAGTTTAGTTATGAATGTAAACCAAATAACAAAAAACTGAAACATATTTTTCCTTTTTTCTTGCCACAATCAAAATAAATACCGCCAAAAATAAAGAGATGCTCTCTAATTATGCGCGCGCACACCATAGAGTAAAAGATAAAGGCGCCATTTTTTACGTTTCGTTTAACCCTTAACCCGTCATACATTAATTACGTTATTGAGAAATTAGTAAATATTTTCGCACGGTGCTATAGTTGCACGTGTTTCTTGCGGTAACCGAGTAGGTAATTAGGTAGGAAGTTGTTTGTTATGCTAATTATTTGTGTCTCTTTTGAGGGAATTAGCTAGATTACCGGTTTGTAGACTTTTGATAATAATGTGTTTATGATTAAGTATTATTAAATGATGCTATTTGATATTAATTTGATTCTACTTTGAAGAATCTTGATTTAAATAATTGTCAGTGGGAATGTAATGTTAATTCTAACGTTAATAGGTATTCATCAAAAAAAGATCTTGACATGAGTTTTGATAAAATGTGATTATTATATTTGTGAGAAGAAATTAAAGAGAAAGTTTAAAAGAGCAATTATCTTTGACATTTCCCTTTTTTAATGGCCTGGCACAATAGCAAAGCGTACGATGACACCTGTTTTTCTGCGAACTGCGAAATAAGGGGCGTATTCTGAAATGAAGGGATAGTTGTAACAAGTTTTCGTGACTATTATCATTACATAGCATAAAATAAAAAAAATCGCTGTTTTTCCCCATATCATCCCCACCTACCTACGCAAAAATTTTAATAGGTAGGGTCAACTCATCTAATTCTGTGATAAAAAAGAATGTGGAAAAAAAAACAGGTTAAACTTTATAAATTTTATTTTTATTTTTAATAGGAACATTAATCAGTCTTCTATTTATCATATGAGCAAGTGTAATCTTAATATATATGAATCAACTCAGCGTAAAATGAGCTTAATCAAACCGCGATGACTTGTCTAATTCTGTGACAAACACCATAATTCGGTGATAGTACTTTTCTAATTCTGTTATAACCGAATTAAGAGAGTATTTATTATTTTTTAACATAAAATCAACAAGTATATGCTTTTAACAACTAATTGTCAAAGTATCATCAACTTACACTCACCTTTTCTATTTAAAATTAATTAAATAATGACAGCACAGTCGCACGCTACCGTGAAACGTCAAACATGGCGGGCGGAATGACAAATTCCGTGATTGTTACTATATCACTCGCACGATCTTAACAAAAATTTGTACACGAAAAGAAGATTTATTACCATACCATAGGGTTAATTTTAATGTATTGGATTTTACTCCTATAACGCTGTGAAAGAGTCCAAACGTGGAATCTCCGAATTAAGTGAGTCACACAATTAGGTGAGTTTACTATACTACGGATTTTAATACTAAGAGTGATTGAAGAGGAAGGTTTATATGACTAATAATCCATTGAATAGTGCAGAAATTTTGTATCAGAATTGCACCCATGCGAAGCCAACTTAACTATTAGCAATATAATTGTGGAAGAAGACACACTCAATGTGATTTTATAAAAGCAATAACTTGTGCTGCACTCGATTAGAATTTAATGCAAAAACCCACCCCCTATAACTCAGGTCCGAGTACCAGCTTGGCTCACTTGTGCCCATTCCAACCCACCTTTTCCTCAACTAGTCTCTATTTGCATACTCTTAATGACCGACGATTTGATAAAAATGGCCGGACTCCTACCATTTTAGTATGCAAATTCTTCAACTGCCATGACTTGTTTTTTTAAAGCGAAATTTCCTCATGCCACCACCAGAATGATTCAATTAAGCTATACTGCTCTAATTAGGACAAAATAACTTTGTCTATAACATCAGATAGGTTATTTATCCAAAATAATAGATATAAATATATAAATGTCATTGTTGTTAAGCATCTGCTTAAAAACACATTGTAAGCAAATAAGCAAAATATTTCATGTTAATTAATAGTAATGGCAGATGCAAAATAATGTAGGAAATATCTTGACTATCCACAAAAAAAACAAAAAGGATAATGCGTAATCTTAGAAAAAACACTTTCCATATCTTCTCACGAATGCGTACAGCACGCTAATTAAACAAAGGTGCGCTAACAAACAAGGCGACAAGAAAAAAACTTTATTAGTAATCAGCAAAAAAACTCAAGACGTCGTGAGAGATGCATAAAATTAACTTGTAATAAATACACGTATGCAAATACCTACGTGACCACTTTTTAAAGAGAAAAAAAAAAACAAAAGTGTTCACTGCGGCCGCAGCTACCCCTTTGCTAATTCAAAATTGAAATTTGCATACGACTCTGGCGATTTTTTCACTCAAAAAGATTATGCAAATGTATTTTTTGGACATCAGGATGAGTGAGAAAGACTTTTTTTAGTTGTAAAAAAGTATGTCGGCTGAGATAGGGTTAAGTTTGTAAGCAAAAGAAATGAGTTCTCATACTTTTCATGCGAACTGTTTTTTTTTGTTTTAGAAAAAAATGATTTGATGAAGTTGCTAGTGTATTTTTGTTGTCATACTTTTAGTAGGGTTTGCATTAATTTTATAATTGTTCTCTGACATTAAGATTCCTTTAATTTCTTCAGCATATTTTTTTCTGATTTAGATTATTGAGATTACCTACCTATATATAAATAGGCTAAAGTCGAAATACTTAGAAAAGGATGTATAGGAAACTAAACGCTTAGGTATTTGGAGTAAATCAGACAGTTGTATTTAACTATTAATTAAAATAAAAGCTGCAGGGAATTGACAAAACAACAGTTTTGTACCTATTAACCTTACAAGGCATAGAGAGAGGTAAGTACTTACTGAGACCTATTCTCAATTTGCAAAATTAAAATTATATCTGTTCAAACATAGTAAATCTTCACTTTGATGTTAACGCTAAATATTTCAACCATCATAAGTATCTAGTTATACGATGGTATATTATGTTTAGTATAAATAGACCGGCCTATAATTATAAAGGGTCGCTATCTATGTATACATAATACATAAACTATACAGACCTTTTTTTCTATATATTTTTTTTGTATCATATAAATTCTACCTGCGTCCCGGGGTGGAGTCTAACAAACCACCCCACAGTTTTTTTACTGCACAAAAACCAATAGTGCACTAGGTAGGGGTGTCAACATTTTTTTCATGGCAACACGGATCGATATTTTTCCCGCTCAAACTTTGCATTGGTTCACCCGTCTGCTAACAAAAGGTTTTATGTGAAACTTATTCATTTATTTTTAGTCGTAACGGTCGATCCTTCTTTATTCTTTTCGATAATAGCAGGGGTTGAATTTAAAAGGGGTTATTTTTTATATAGAGCCCTCCTCACGCGATTTCTGTCCGCTCAAATTGTTTGGGGCACGCAAATGATCGGGTTTTATGTTTTACAACGTTTCGTTTTAATTTTGGTTCCTTGATTTGGGTTTTGGAGACAAAAATGGCGATAATTTGGTTGTAATTCTATGGTTAGGCTTGTTTTTTTACTTACCTGTCGATGGTAAAACTTTGTAACAATTGATGCCTATGAATTAGCGTACAACAGACTAAAAAGGTGTAACACTTATCTACAAAAGTTTACGCAAATATAAATCAATATCATACATAAATAATACACTTAGGCAAATTCTACAGATAACTAAAAAACTAGTCGGTGTTACTGATGTAGCTGTTTGAATAATAATCTCCTTAAATTGGATATTTAGCTCAGTCAAAAATCAATTATTAAAACTTTCCGATACAATTAAATAGGTACAATCGTATTTCAACTAATAAATTTGACGACATTTTCGATTTTTATAGGTAAATAATTCAACAAAATTCTTTATTTCAATGTTTTTTTTTATTTCGCAAAACAATCTTTATTTCGTACAAAGTTCTAGATTCGTCATGAACGTTTCATTTTTGGCATAGTAGGACGCTATCGAATCTATTTTAACTTTAACCTTTGTAGTTTAATCAGCGTGATTTAAGTAAAGAAATCCTAAAACTATTGCTAAGCTAACAAAAAGTCCAAAAAGTTTTTTTCTGTGAATTTGTTTAACCAAAGTTAAAAGATTTGTTCGAGTTAATCGAACACTCAGCAAAAATGTATAACTGGGTCGATTTGAGTGAATCGAACACTCAGCGAAAATACATAATTGCATCGATCGCAAGTATGCACATTCGCTAGATTCCCACAATATCAGACCAGTTCGCGATTAGATCTCTTTTGAGACACCACGCACTCAAAACCATAACCATTACCATTTAACCATTACCAATAAGTAGTTATATAGTTTACCATTTTACTTTATAACTCTTTATAGTGATTCAATATAACTGTTTCCACTTTAATTGAAGACTTTAACTTTAACCAAATAAACCATTACCATATCAATACGAAAAAGTTGTGCTAGGTCACCATAGTACCGAGCGCAGCTATTTACATGGTCCTTCGAGCCGGATTCGAGTTATTTTTATGTGAATTTGTTTAAACAAAAAAAAATCGTTATTTTTTTACAGTGGTCGTGACGTCAGCTCCGGCTAACGAGGCTGAATTACAACTGTACAGGGTGATGCAACGAGCTAGTCTGCTGGCTTACTATGACACCCTGTTGGAGATGGGTGAGTAATTGCATAATAATAATATAGATGTTATTTCGGGAAAAAAATGTCAAAAATTTTGTTATGTGATTTGTCGGCAAACGAGCACATGTATTGCTTAATGGTATACAATCGACGCCACCCATGTAAGTACCTACACCGGCAACGCCAGGGAGTAACGAGTTCATTCCCTTTTGGGTATTAGGGTTTCGGAAATTTTGGGATTGGGGATAGAAAGGAGGAGGGAATCCTATAACTCGTACGGCGAAACAAAGCTGTGGTTGTTTCACGCCGGTTTTTTGTGAGGCCGTGCTATCACTTCGGTCGTGCCGATCCATCTGTGCCGAAGGTTGACTCTCCCACACTTCTATCTACTCAAGGGATGATCATATAACAACCAATTAATATGTTCATAATAGACAATGGCATTAAATAATAAAATAAATTAAACAATTACGAATTAACTATTTAGTTATCTGTGACAATGGGCGCTCATATCGCATTCAACGATCTCTTCCTGTTAACCTTTGAATTTTGAATCTTTAAACACGTGATTGCACCTCTATACCTAAACCTAATATAGGTACTTATCAACGTCTAAATACCTAAGCCTTTTATCGTTAAAAATTAAACAGTAATTATAATCATTGGCAAAACATTTATGACAACTGAACCAATCACTTTTTTATTTAGTTTTGAATGTGACGTGCGAGTGATATCTAAATAACTGATTAAAATAACTTTAATGAATGACATGTTTTCGTATCTGTATGATCATTGCTATTATTAGATTTAACATGTTTCAAGATATTATTATTATATTACTAGCTTTTGCCCGCGACTCCGTTCGCGTGGAAAAGTGACTTCCTGCAGATTTTTGGTATAAAAACTATCCTATATCCTTTCTAATTTTTTAAGCTATGTCGGTACTAAATTTTACAGAAATCGGTTCAGTAGTTTAGGCGTGAAGAAAAGACAGACAGACAGACAGAGTTACTTTGGCATTTATAATATTAGTTTGGAATATATCTTTCATTGTTAAGCCAAAAGGCTCATAGTCTTTATATTAATAATCAAAGGCTCATAGTGTGTTCGTACAATTTCTTAAAAACTATGCTAGTAATAACAAAACATGGCCCTCCATGGTAAACAAAAAACACAACGTCATAGGAACACAAGAAAAAACACTTTCTCATAACTAAATAAAGAAAAAAAACTCCAAAAAATAAAAGACACTACAGAATCTCCATATCGGTAAAAAAACGCGCGCTCAGCGTCGACATGCAAATTACTTTTTTAATCTTTTACTTTTTAATACCGCCGATTACTCGAGCTAAGGAAGGGTTTGGCCAGTCAGCCTTATCCTTTTGTTTTTTTTTTCGGCGCCCCTTTGCAAAATGGTCACGTAGGTATTTGCATATTTGCCTAAATTAAAACTGGGTGTGTGAGTTCGTATTTTTTTACGGTATCTCACGTTTTTGTGTGGAACAATCATAGCGAAATGAACTTGCAGCGCAAGAAAGTCTTGCATATTAATGTTTATGGGACTAATCTATCTGTTTGTAACAATAGTCCAGTTTTTGTCGTCATGTGAATGTAAAGAACTGATTATCGCGGTCGTCTTTTTTGATCTTTGAGAAATAAGTAATTTATTCTCGTACTTTCTTGAATGTGGACTTTTTTTACTTTTGTTTGGTAATGTGTTGTTTTATTAACTGTTTCAGGTGGGGATGATGTACAGCAATTGTGTGATGCTGGAGAGGAAGAATTTCTTGAAATAATGGCTTTAGTAGGCATGGCTTCAAAACCTCTCCATGTCAGACGACTACAAAAAGCTCTTCAAGAATGGGTGAACAACCCTGCCCTTTTCCAAATACCCATCGTTCCTAACCTCTGTCCGACTGAGAATCCCTTTATCCAATGTAACCAAAGACTCCTCAATATGCCTCCTTCGATTCCAAACGTCTTACCGAGGACGGTGGCCTCTCCAGAAAGTAGTAGACCAATGTACAGTCCATCACCTGGTGCTCCAGAGAACAGTTGTGGGTCCACTGCGTCCGCTCCTAACGCTAGTCCTGTCCACCAAGCGAATACGTTTACAAAGATAGTTTTACCGCCATCTCCTGCACCAGCAGCACCTGTTACGTCAACTGCTTCCAGATCGTTTTCCCCACAAAGTGCCTGTCCACCCGCCTCGGCTGGTTCCAGTCCAAGTTCAGTCACATCACCAGTTCAACTAACACCAGTACTCCTGGACGTTCACGTCCAGAAGTTGGCCGCAGCTGCTGAGAAGTTGAGCAAACATTTACCCCAACTGGAGCCAAAGCCACAGAATACAAAGAAAAAAATGTGCAAGGATTTAGAATTGGTGATGATGATGCCGGAATCAGATCCAAGGCGGATGGAGGAAATAAGGAAGTACGCAGCGATCTATGGAAGGTTTGATTGTAAGAGGAAGCCTGAGAAGCCATTGACGCTACATGAGGTTAGTGTGTTAATAATAGATTTGAACATAAACATAAATATATCTAATTGTGATAAATTGTTTGATTTATTGATTTATCTTCGATTTCCAGGTGATGGTGAACGAGGCGGCGGCTCAGATTTGTCGCTGTGTGCCCGCACTCCTGACGCGAAGAGACGAACTCTTCCCTCTAGCGAGGCAATTAGTCAGGAGGGCTGGCCTTCACTATTCTAAGCATGGGTAAGTAACTATTTTATTTAGCTTCTTTTTGTCGTCTAACTAGGTAGGGGTCAGTACTTACTGAGTCCAGCATCGGTCAGTATTATGCATGGGTGAATACAGTTTAAGCTTAACCTGTTAAACAACTAAAGATAGGCACATTGACATTTTGGATTTCTTTGCTCGTATTATTATAGAGTTTTTCTCTTAAATTATCACTAGACTCATCATCATTTTCTTTTAATAGATTCTAATGCAATGCACTTAATAAATATTAATTTGTTAGTGCTATGGCTTTATTTTTTAATGTAATAAATCGGCAAACGAGCAGACGGATTACCTGATGGTAAGCAATCAACGCCGCCCATGGACACCCGCAACGGAGGAGTTACGAGTGCGTTGCCGACCTTTTAGGGATTAGGGATTTGGAGATTTAGGGATTGGGGAAGGGTCCGGGAAGGGGAAGGATTGGGCTTCCGGTAACCTCACTCACAACGCTGTGGTTGTTTCACGCCGGGTTTCTGTAAGACGGTTTCTTAACACTTTATTTACATAAAGTGTTAAGTTCATTAAAATGCAACTGCATTAATATGACCTGTTCTTATAGGATTAATTATTTTAGCACGTGGTGGTCAATTAATTACGGTAGGGCTAAACTTATAAATATATATTCTTAATAAATATAAGTATGTAGGTTACTGATAGTTTACTTCATACGCAGAAGCATAATCAACTGTTAATATACTTTCATAAATCTTTTATTTATGTCACATAATGTTGTAGGTATACACACGAGAACATAAATTGTTTCTCGCTTAAAGACACTACACACTTTTCATTATGTACAAATCGTTCTTTTGAATCATACTTAAACAAAATAAAACAAGTAATAATAAATGTGTTATATACTTCACTGCACAATACAAAAGGACTTTAAAAGGACACATATAATTACAATAACTTTTGAATTGTTGTTTTCAGCCTCCCACCCACAGCTTCAACAGGCGAGGACCGGGAGCATGATGAGGACGAGACGCCTCCGAAGCGACCGCGACAGGTCGCGCCCCAAACTGTAGACCTCACTGATTAGCACTAACACTAGTGGGCATAGACAGCACGTCAGACACGTGAATCATGGAACCTTTGTATGCTTAAACAGATCTAGTATTTCTAGACATCAAATAAATAACAAAAAAAATATTTCCACTACAATGACCAATTGCTTCTAAAAATTTCAATCCCTGTGTCCAATCGACTAAACTCTATACTACTATTTTAATATACGCGCACATAATTTAATATAAAAAAATGAATCATCGTGAAAATGTTGGTACACATGACAACAAAAGATTCCATGGTTCACGTTGGTATAGGTGAAAAATTACAAGGAAAAGACATTTTCTAACTGGAATAATGGGCTTACCCATTTTTGCATCCAATCAGTACTCAACAATTCATTGAATTGTTGTTTTCTGAACTAACGACTAAATTGCTAAATGAAACGGTAAAGGACCTAACATGCACCCCTGAGGTACACCTTCGGTGTTATGGGAATGCTATTGTTAATCTTTATTTATTTTAGCTATTTTCAGCATACAATAGCAAGATATGTTTTATTTCGATACATATTATTTCTCGTTCTTATTTGCAAATTATATTTTAGTTGCATTTTCATAGTAAAAGGTAAGCATGACTCAATCAAAAGCTTTATAAAAATCTATTAATTTGGTATGCACTGTAGTACATTTTGTTTTAGAATGGTAATGGCAATAACTGTTTCGGTGAGTAGAACTCTAACATTTTATCTTTACTTATTTGCTTTTTTTTACATCACAAATACATAACAATTTACTAAAAAAAATACTAATTTAGATTTAACTGACAAAAAGAAATTACTAACGTAGAAAGAACTATCAAAAACAATAAATAACATAAATTAACTGTGTTTGATTTTTTAAATAATAAATAATTATGTTATCTAGGAAGGCGAGGAAGGAAACGGTATCCGAGCGAGTCCTGATGCAGCCAGAAGTAATTCCAATAGGTAACATATAAGTGTCTATATTCTAATTAGAAGAACTACAAAAGATTTTACAACACTGAGATAAAAATAAGACCAATATTCCAATGAGACCACTTGTAAAAGAAAAGCATTCAAAATTCCAATTAGAAAGAAACAAAGTTTAACATTGGACATGTTATTATTATTATGATGATGATGTGGTATCAAACAAATGATTAATATGTTTCCAGTTGGTGGGGCGTGAAGGCTGAGAGTGATGACGCTGACTCCAGATGCTCATATTCCAGTACCAGCACTCCACCACCGGTGAGTGTCATCAGTGCATTGACAGCATAATTTTATTCCGTTGTTTTTTATATAATATTGACTGGATTATATTATTATCTATACTAATATTATAAAGAGGTAAAATTTGTAAGTTTGTATGTAGGGGGTAATCTTTAGAACCGATGTTCCTGAGTGCTATAGGCTATAAATCATCGCGCTACGATCAAATGGAGCCGAGCAGCGGGTGAAACCGCGCGAGAGTAGCTAGTATCTCATGAATAGAGAAGCGTCTTTCTCTACCGGTTCAGATATCATTATGTTTTACTTAGATTTATGTAAAAATAATATAATAGTTTAATCTAACTTCATCTATCATGCGCACTGTGCATTTAAACATAGCAACTATTGTCACTTATTGGCAAATCATTTTGATAGTCAGAATCTTACTGACTAAAAACCATACTGTTTCTACACCGAACTTCCTTCTTGCACCTGCAATCGACATGACCTAACTTTTTTTTTAAAGAATACGTTGCCCCACTCTAGGATTTTCTTCTGTGTCGGGGGTGCGTTGACAAACATACATTTGTGGATCATACAAAGAGTTGTTCCGTGCGGGAATCGAACCCGCGACACGTTGCGCGGCAGCCAGTTGCCCAGCCACTGCGCCATCCGTGCAGTCAAACTGGCTAATAAGATAAATATTTCAACTTGTCACTTGGAATCAAATGTTGCTTCATAAGGTACTTACATATTAACTAACTTACAATAGGTTTGCGTGTATTCCAGGAAGCAGACGAGTCCCGCCCGCAGGTGGTGGCGGCCCGCGGGGACAGCATCATCGCGGTGGCCAACCCCGCGCTGCACGCGCCCCTCCCGCACGCCCCGCACGCCGCGCCACACCCCGCACGGAACCATTCCAACTGAAACTATACCAAACTGAAGCGACGAAATCCGCCTTGCACTTTATTAGAAGTACCTACTTTATCTTAGAAACAGAAAAACATGGCAGATGATCAGTAGGTATTGTGATTATGATCATTGCATGTAATGTCCGTGCAACGAAATAAAATTCGTCACAATTACGAATTCGCGCGAATTAAATTTCGCTGTGTGCACAAAGTCTTTAGTTAAAATACAATACCGCCGACGTATCTTGGCGAGTCTGAAGTTAGCCGATTAGCTGCGCAGTACACAATTTTGTTTCTAAAACATCAATTGCGAAGACAAACGGCTAACTTCAGACTCGGCAAGATACGTCGGCCGTACTGTACCTCTGGTAATGGACAAGAAAGTATTTCAAATGAAAGCCTCACCGTGCCTATCTTATCTTTAGTTAAAACTCATTGCCTCAGTACTAAGAAAAAGATAAAGACTAAAAATATAACGACAACAAATTGCTTAATTTTGAGCAATTATTAAAACGTACCTACTACTACGAAATAATTCTTGACACTTGAAAAATACACTTAAGGGCGTTTTTTGTATAGCAATATCGTGAAACATACTAAATTTATTTTATTATAACGACTTATTGACGTGAATCAAGTCACAATGGAACTTACAGTACGCTGAATCATGAATAAGAGTCCCGTTTTGACTTGAAACTAGTCGAGCTGTTCTCAATTAATTCAAATTTAGTATGATTCATGATAGTAACTATTACAAAATTAGTACCTTCAATTTGCCCTTCATATTTTGCCAAGTTTTTACTAAAGAATATTTCTTTAACATAACCTTGAATTTATCGATGATATTTACCTAATGGCAAAAAGTCGTCTAGCCGATTTGAACTCTATCGAAAGAGCGATAATGAACAAACTTGAACTGTCCCTACTTTCACACACAAATCTTAAAAACAATCCTTGTGAAGGATACGTATTTGAAGATTTGAGTACAGACGCCGCACATCAAGCTACCCGCTTAACTATATATATTCAACTTTACTTCACCCTAATAAAGTTGAATATCTATTGAATAGTTTTGGGGTAGCTTAATATGCTGGATGTCTGTACATTGTTCCGCAACGGGGAACATAAAGAAAACCTGACACAGAGTGTACAAAATACATTCCACCAAATATGAAACTAATTTATATTTCAATGTAAATATTAGATTAAGTAAATTAAGTTTAAGTAAAGCCATAATATGCCTTGTAGTCATTATTATCTATGGATTGGTTTAAAAAATGGATTGCACTAACGGATCATTTATACTTTTTAATTTCATGGTAGTATTTACTTAAATACAAAAAAAAAAAATTACTTCAAGTGTGGGAGAGCCAAGCTTCGGCACGAATGGATCGGCTGGACCTCGGCTACCGTAGGCCTAATCCTTCGACTTTCCCAATCCCAAAATCTCCAGATCCTTAATCTATAAAAGGGCGGCAACACATTCCTAATTTTTTCGTTATTGCGGGTGTCCATGGGCGGCGCTGGTTGCCTACCATAAGCTAATACGCCAACTCGTTTACAGTCTTATCACATAGAAAAAACATTTGCCAGAAAAACAAAAAAACAGAAAAATTTTTACGTAAATAAAATTCAACCCTTTATTTCATAAAGTAGCGTAATAAATTAGCCCCACCATGTTGTTTAGTGTCATAACATAAACAGGCATCCTGACAGATAAATTACAACTATTACAAATCAGGCGAAAATAGTCTTTATTTCATGGAACTCATAAGTATTCTTGTCACGTGGCGAGGTTGAATAGATTGCCTCTCATTATGCACAGATTATGGTGATGTGGTCGTCAATCGATGGCAACAGAACAATTTAATTCAAATCCAATTTATTAATACAATCCAAATAATTATTATAAACGTGAAATTAACTCTGTCTGTATGTCTGTCTTTTCTTCACGCCTAAACTACTGAACTGATTTTTGTGAAATTTGCTACAGACATAGTTTGGAACTGGAGAAAGGACACGGGAAAGTTTTTAAACCAAAAATATGCAGGAAGTCACTGTTCCACGCGAACAAAGTCGCGGGCAAAAACTAGTCTTATATATGTCGCAGCAAAATAGATGTATTCGCTGTCCAACCAAAGGCCTGAATAAATAGGCCTTTGATTGAAGGCTCAATTTCTCACTCAGGCTATTTGTTAAAGGGTAAAGGATTGCCATAAAAACCGAGTTGCTACTTTTTTAGGTTAGGTTATAACTGTCAACCGCAAATCGAATCGCTATCGTAAATAAGCAGCTGCTTAAATTGCACTGCGGTTTATGGGCCAGTTAATTGATTGAACAATTGTGTAGTTTCCTAGGTCAAAAAAAAAATCAATTCGACGTTTCAATACAATAAAATATTGAAAAATAACTATACTATACTTTTATTCATAGATCGATCGATACACAAAATTTTTGATATTTATTAGCTAATTTTTAAGAAATAAGTACGCTATTTGGCGTAAAATTTCTATGACGTCATAACTCAGTGTTTCATACAAATTTCATAGAAAAGTATTGAATTTGACTAGTTGGAAACTACCGTAATATTTTAAAACATCATTGGAAGTCACCGTCGGTATCCCTCAACGCTTATTCTCTTCGCCAGCTCGCTTACGTTCATAGAGAAACATAGGCCTCCCTCGGCGCCTTTTAAATCGGTTGGAATTGACACCTCATTTTTTCACAAGTACAACTCTGAGTCCATTTTAATATGCAGATATCTGAGGGATGTACTAAGGGTGACAAAAATGCATGGAGAGCTTAAGGTCGACTATTGACTGACAGGTTTTGCATAACGCTACCATTGATAACTAGATGGCGCTGCTTTTAAATGAAAATAACCCTGCAAAGCTTGAATACTTTACACTGCAGAGGCACACAATAAGGTTTTTAATGGTTAAAATAATAATTAAGAAACAATAATATATTTATATTCAAATACACATAAATTATGTTAATTTTCACATTTCCAAGGACTTAATATAGCGCCATCTAAGTCAAGTCAAGCAAACCAATTAAAAGATGGCGTCAATAATTAATAATAGACAATAATAAAAGTATAACTTTTATTATTGTCTAACTAACCCGCATTTTCGATATCATTAAAAATGCGATCGGTAGCTCGGATAAATAAGAATGATAGTATAATGAAGTCGAAGGGCACCGGTTCAATTCCGGGTTATCATTTTTAAATTCAGGTTTTTTAACAATGGTTTTTTATATTTTTTATATAAAATCAATAATAATAATATATAAATAAAATATTTGACGTTTAATATTTATAAAAGATAACAAAAATAAATAAATATATTATTTTAGAATAAAATTATATTAATAAATATATATAAATAACTTTTATAATATGTGCTAACTATTAATGTAAAAGTAACATATTTTTCTTACAGATTAAGACTAATACTAAGTTTAATTCTCATAAAGGATAACAAATAAAACTATTTTAGTGACATTATAATTTCAGACATTTATTTCTTAAAACATAATATTTATTTCTCTCTTATATAGTGTATACCCTGACCTAATTACTTTTCAGCTAACTGACACATTATTTATTACACTTTTTATAAGATTAATAAGTATTTTAAATCAAAATTGTATTGTGCTAGTCATTTATTAGTTAGTTTTAAACACAATGTTATAATATGATTCTATATAATATGCAACCTTACTTCTGCAACTATTTTACCTCCCTATAAAATTTAATTAAAGTATTGACTAAAGTGATTCATTTTGTGCATCATGTTATGACAAAGGCTCATAGCTTAAGTATTCGTTCCAGAACAAGGAAGAAATTGAAGCTAGACCTTAAATCAATAACATTTCTAAGACCGGGATATAGCATTCACTAGATATGGGACGAATTGTTCATAGTAATTAATAAATAAATAATTAATTATTTTGCAATCAATAGCATCTGTAAATATTAATATTGCTTTTATTTTTATTTCTCATATTTAGTAAAACATTAAAATCATTACTGTATAACAGTCGCTGGTTATAAAGTAGTCAATAAATTTATCCTACTAAAACTAAGTTTGAACATTTATCCATTAAATAAATTATAGCTACCCCGGTCTTGTAATTGCTTAATCCTATAGTCAACAATGTCTTTTCTTTTAAGAACTAGTGTAGCCGCCATTTTTATCGATCCTATTTCTCCTATCTCGCTGGCCAAGGAATAATCCGTATGTCTGATTGCTGACTAAACACTTGCACAATTATGGAACATTACACATAGGACAATTGTCCTGCACGAACGTTATCACTAGCACATCTTCATGACGTCATTCAGCACATCTATGTAGTTTTCACTGTTTGCATCACTGAAGATGACAATGCTCCAGTAATTTTCCTCATAACCTTGCCCCATAAGTTGAAACTGGTCTGAGTCAATATCACGTCTTCTGCCAGATCCACTACGGTGCTCCAATGAACCCTCTTCTTGAAACAGCTTTAGATATCCATAAAGTGGCAGTCTTTATCTGTAAGGGACGTGTATTATTTATTATTTTCATGTATCGATAACCATGGATAATAAAATAAATAACAAACGGTCATTTATAAGAATACTTACGTTTAAGCCAGTTTCTCTAGAAATTCCAGTATAATTTAAGCTTTGATTATGCAATGCTATTATTTGGGCCCTCGTAGCCATATTAACATTTGAACGCAAATTCATAATAAAAATAAATATTAAAAACTTGTTAAACAAATCGTGACTGAACTCACTCAAAGATAGTAAAGAATGTTATGATTGAACAAAAAGGTTTAATTTTTATACAGTTAATTTTAAATTACCCTCAACTGTTTTGAGATTTATGATCGGGTTATAGTTGCTAAACAACTTCAATATAATAAAGAGTAGGATAATTTCAATACATTTCAAGGTTACGTAATGGCCTAATGGCTAGTGGCATCGGTTAATTTTATGCTACCGAGTTCGAAACCTGGTTATTG